AATGTCTGTTTCTGCCCCTCCCCCTTCCACTTTCAGTGCAGTGACGGTCGCAGAGGGGGATCAGGGCCATGCCCTTCCCCCCTCCAAAGGCTAATCAGGGGGCCATCATATCATTTGCCCCCCCCCCCCAAACAACCAATGGGCCCCCATGGGCGTATGGGGCTCTGGCCCTTATTCGATTGTCACGAGACTCAAGAATCCCACGCTAGCTATTAACAGCTCCCAAACCAGTCTTTGAGGGTCCTACACTGATCTCGGAGGGCCCTTCAGTGGCGGTCAAGCGCCCACATTGACCGCTGAGAACCCACATTGACCTCATTTGAGGGCCCCTAAACCGGCCTCAAGGGCCCAGCCGGCGTCTGAGGGCCTCACACCGGCCTCTGGTGGCCTCATTTCTGTCTCTGGGGTGCCTTTAGGTGCCTTTGAGGGCCCCGCACTGAATTCTGAAGACCCGATGCCGGCCTCTAAGGGTCCGCATCGGCCTCTGAGGGTCCACCTTGGCCTGAGGGGTCCAACGCCGGCCCATGCCGGTCTTTTAGGGCCCCACACTGACCTCTAAGGGCCCATGCTGACCTGTAAGGACCCACATTAGCCTATGAGGCCTTGCACGGGATTCTGAAGACCTGATGCCGGCCTCTGAGGCCCATCTTGGTTTTTGAGGGCCTTCTGCTGGTCTCTGGGTTCCAACACCGGCCCATGCCGGTATTTTAGGGTTCCACATTGACCTCTAAGGGCCCCGCACTGGATTCCGGAGATCCGATGCCGGTCTCCAACGGTCCGCATCGGCCTCTGAGGGCCCACCTTGGCCTATGAGGGCCCTCCGCTGGTCTCTAGGTTCCAAGTCCCTCCCATGCCGGTCTGTTACGGCCCCACACTGACCTCTAAGGGCCCATGCTGGCCTGTAAGGACACGCATTAGTCTCTGAGGGCCTTGCACTGGATTCTGAAGACCCGATGCTGGCCTCTGAGGCCCATCTTGGTTTTTGAGGGTCTTCTGCTGGCCTCTGGGGTCCAACACCGGCCCATGCCGGCATTTTAGGGTCCCACACTGACCTCTGAGGGCCCATACTGGCCTGTAAGGACCCACATTAGCCTCTGATGGCCCAAGTCGGCATCTTAAGGTCTCATCCTGCCCTTTGCAGGCCCTGTACTGGTCTCTGAGGGCCTTAACCCTCGCCAGCCGGGGGGGGGGGGGTGCCGCCCCTCCATAGTTTTTTTTCGCGATAGCTCCGAACACGCCGGCGATAGAGAGCTGAAGCTTGGCATACCTGACCTTTGAATCAAACGGGATCTTTTGACACCAACCGCATTTTCGGGTCAGATCAGGTCACTGACCCATGTGGTCATAAGTGAACCTCTGCACGGTCTTCAGATGTCGCAACTTCGCAACGCCCTCACTGCCAGAGGAGATTTCACAGGGAAATGAACCTTGGAGGACCTAGTATCCAATAGGAGTCTTTCAACTTGTATAATGTATATCTCGGATTTTTCCTTAAGTTCATATGAGGTCAGGTCATTTTCGTGACCTCACCATTAGGTGAGGTCAATGGGGATAAACTGAAAACTTTTTCTGGCGCCGGGAATGATCGATCTCCAACTATCTCAAGCACACCGAATCGTGATTTCATGCACTCCTTGCAAGGTTCGATGCGTCACTTTTGCAATGTTGACCTTGCGCGACGTCATTTATGAAGTTATAAGGGTCTTATTAGTTTTTCGTCAATAACTAGGTACCGATCAAATTGAGCTAGCGAGTCGGGAAAGCCACCTATGGACTCAAGAAGACCTGCCGAATCGAATGATATGCGACATGACCTCCTTCGACCAATTTCGTGACCTGGGGACGCCGACCTGACCGTGACCCGAGGTCAACACCCTAAGTTTACCTCACCCAAACAAAAAGTATATCATTCGACGCGCCTGACAGAGGCGAACACGATGCTGGCAAAATCGCGGCTCTGCGGCCATTTTTTGCGAAGTTATTCACCAAAAACGGAACCGTGCCTTGAGGCACTTGACCTGACCTCAGAGGTCACCGGTTTTTGTTTGTTTTGTTGGGTTAGGCCCTTTCGGTCCAATGAGACCATTTCAGAGCCGGAAGGATGATAGGATATAGGGGGAGACATTGGTCTGGGCAGGCACCCTAGTGAGTCGCCGGGGCTGAGCCCGTCCAGAGGACAGGCCACCCAGCCCCAAGGCACTCAGTGCACCCGGCTACGGGGTGCGCTCCCTCGGGAGCAGCGGTGCCGCTCCAAGGGAGCAGCCCGCATGAGATAAAGTTGCCTGTCCAGCCCGGAGGGGGTTGCGGTGTGGAGGAGAAGGATTTCAGTATCCTGAGGATAGAAGCACGGAACGGTGTCAGAGGTCACCGGTTGACCTAGGACCATAAAATCGGGTATCGATCTCTGCGTCCCGTAACGGCGCACACGCTCGTTTTACCGCGACGCGCTAGCTCCACCTGGGGCGAAACGGCGAGGGGGTCGTACCCGCCGGCCCGCCCCTTCGGCCAGCGCGTATGTAGAAAACCTATAGTAATAGGACCGGGCCGTGGAGGGTTAAACTGGCCTCTGAAGGCCCAGACCGTCTAAAAATCCCACACCGGCCTCTGATAAGTGATAGTCAATCAGCCCAGTTGCAGTGGTCGCTGATATAAAACCTCTTAAAAACGTTATAGGCCTGGCTGAGCCTAGCTGGGCCGTTCATGCTGATTTTTATAGGTATATTGAAAAGACTCGCTTTGCACGTTTCACGCTTGCTCGTAATGAAAAAGTTGCTGGATGCCTCTGGAATTTGCATGGGTGCCAACGGCTGCGGAGGCCAGGGGAACGCGTCCATCAGTTTGAGCTTATGGACGGGAGACTCCCTGAAATTTCAACCAATTTTTTTTTCTTTTTTTGTCTCGATTTTTTTTTACCTCTGAGCATGTTTGCGAAAACAAAGTGGCCGAAATCCGAGGAGAAATCGGATTTTGGGGGTAGGTTAGGTTTTGGACCTCTGGGACCCTGGCCCCCCCACTTTCGAGAACGTTCCTACGCCTATGGCGGTGTGGATTGTTTTCCGGGCGCCGTGGCGGGGCTGTGGAAGGGAGTGTGATGGGGTTAAGCCGGGGATCTGGTTCGCAGCCGGCTGTGGGTTCATTGGGACGATATTAAGCCGGCACAAGGGATCGATGAAGCATTGCAGAAGGCAGCTCTGAAAGGGATTAGTGCATCAGGTAGAAGTGTGAGGTGTGATGAGTTTGTGAGGTGTGCCTGGAGTCTATGTAGTCAGAGCGCGAGAGATGCTCGAATGTTTTAGATGAGGTGGCAAACATGATTTGCTGGAGTGAGCTGCAACGCTGGACAATACAATAAGTGCGGTTTCCTTGGGATTGGATGGACTCGAATGTAAAGTGCGGGCGTCGAGCTGTCTCGACGATGCAGTGGCTGAGGCCCATTTCATGGCAGTTATTGACAGAAGTCAGAATAACGACTAGCCCCGGTCATAATCGTCAAAGTGGTTTGATAACTTGACGAACTGAAGTTCGCTGATGCAGTGATCTATGACGTTTAATCTTCTCGTCGATAGCACATAAATTGGTTTTGTTTGTGCTCAAACGTCGAGCATTGTTCGATCACCGTCTGCTAAATACGCCCTTCTGAAAAAACTCTTAGACTTTAGGCGTTATTTCCCTGCGGTGCTCGGTTCCAGCGTACCGCAGCCGCTCCGGGGGGACCATTCGTCTCCGGCAGTTTCCCCGGACTGTGACGTAATCAGGGGGCCGCTCCGTCCGGACCTCTCCGGGGACAGCTTGGTGTCAGACCGGGCCGCCAGAACTTGGACACCGCGCCAGCTCAGTCATCCGCCGCCGATCGTAAAGACCAACGGCGCAATTAGCAAGAGAGACTCGGACGGCCCCAGGCGATAGCAAGCCGCCTCAGGAAATGAAGTGCCAACTCGTGCTGTTTCACTTACGGTGCTGTCCACCGGGAGAACTATGTATGGTTCTGGCATTTGTGGAGTTAGATACAGCCTACAGGCAATTAAACTTTGTGCGCCAGAAATGAGAAACCTATTATTGATTTTTTTCCCGCTGACACTTTTATTTCAGAAACAAGTGAACACATACACCTATTATTGAATACTCGCATTCCCTAGGCTTATTTTGCTATCCATTTCGTTCCTAGTCGGGCAATAAGAACAAATGAATAGCATGAACTCTTTGTCTTACATTTTGTCCACACGTATGCAATGCTTGGCATCGGTGCTGTCCTACCTTTCATGAGAGTCATGTTTAGAGGCTCCTATAGGGTTCAGTCTGGGTCCCTCAGACGCAGATAACTGAGATAGTTTGTTCTGAACTCGGGTGCTTGAACGTGCCCTGGAGTGGTGCTGCTCCTTACACAGGAGAGCAAAACAAACCAACCCATCCCCTGGAATAACAACCACACTATGCAGCCAGGAGGAACTGAGCACTGATTCTCGCTCATGGTTGTGACCTGACAAGGGACAACACTCGACCCAAACGACCACGTACGTATGTACCTATCACATGTGTAATTTCTAAGATCCTGCTGATCGGTGTCGATCCATATTCTTTCTCTTTAGGACGGTCTGTGTACGTAAAGAATGTTAATTCTCCAACTACATGCATGGGTACGTCGGTTTTTTACTTCTTGTATGCAATTCGCAGTTTTTTTTTTTGTGTGTGGCAAAAATGAGCAGTAGCTAGCCGGGTCGATCCTGCTCCGAGCTAAAATACGTATGAAGGCTGAAGTCAGTGGGTGTTGCCTGATCCTCCGTATTGCTCACAATATAGCATACAGACACTTAAGCCATGCCGGAAGCGTATACCAGTGGTCATTTGCAGCAGAGGTGAAATTCCCGCAGCTCACCTCGCCGCGATGATCCTTATGAGCCCGGCATTACGTGTGACGGGCCAGTGCGATATTGCCCGCGCTGAGAGATGGCTATTCATAACAAGTTATTAGGGGACGATGATATTACCGGGAGATGTGTACCATGTGGCCAGTCTGTCTGCTACTCTTCGACCGGGGAGATGTAGGTACGGACAGTGCACGCACTACGGACGAGGTCAGAGCACCTCCTGCTCCATACTCTACCCTCAGATCCGGAATACGCCGCCGTTCATACTCTCTCTCCCTGCAGTGTGATTGGCCCCGTCCGTTGGGAGAAGCCCAATTTAGCCGCCAGATGCCCGTCTTCCTCAACGGAACAGCACTCGTATCAAGATAAATGCACGCGCCTGCTTATTGCATCTATATTTCGGCCGAGTTTTGTAATATCTCGAGATGGATCGTCGGGCCGCTGTCCGAGGCTGTAAAAAGTCGCCGTGCCGGCCGCACGCATTAGTTTGATAAATGTCCGCGTCTGTCCCAGGTCCGACCAGATGCATTATTTCTGTGAACAGAGTGCATCTCTGAGGTATGCTCAGACTGGACAAAGTGGACATCAACCTGTACGAGCGAGCTGGACGTCCCAGGAACACTGCTCATAACGTCAGGAGGCGACTCTGAACTCTTGGAGTTCTTATTTCATAGGTTTAGTTGGGATGGCATGGCATTCAAAATTCTGACACATGATGTAACTTAACGTTTAGTAAATGCAGTCATCATTGGTGTTTTAGTAAAGTTGTCAGGTCAGGTCGTTTCCTTTGGCGCCCGAGGCCGTCCGTGTCGGACCGTGTCCGTGTGCTGTGATTGGGCCGCCCGCCTGTCACGTGATTGTTGACCTTGAACCGGATGTCATCCGACTGGGGTGGGGTGGCGGATAGAGGGCTACGTGCGTTATTACTCCGTTAGAAATGTTTCGTGCCGTGGCGACAACGGATAGGCCCGGGAACGACTTGACCTTTGTTTTTGGCGTGACATCACAGAGCTGTGATGCTCGTGGCACATCGCGTCACTCTCAGCTCTGAGAGTGACGCGATGTGCCACGAGTTTTACTAACTCCGATCTCACGCTATACCCCTTTCCTTCCACAGATGCTGCATCGCTGGTCGTACCCCTGTCTGCTAGCACTGGCTGTGACGCTCTGCTACCAGAACGCCCTGCACTGTGACCTGGTGTTTGATGACGTCAGAGCGATTCACGGCAACCGCGACCTGCGTCCCGACACGCCCGTCTCCAGTCTGCTGAGCAACGACTTCTGGGGAACACCCATGGAAAAGGTAGGCCAATCACTGGCACACAATTGTCGCCATTGTCGCCACACGAACAATGGCAGTGTCCAATGACGATGAATGGGCGCGGTAACTGCGCACCAGGCCTGTGACAGGCACTGCCCACCAGCACCTGCACGATTGCTGGGCGGAGAGGGAAGGGGTGCCGTCCTGTGTATGACACGCATCGTAAAAAGGAGTGACGCAGTAGGTATACCAACGGAGCAATGCCTATGGTGCGATTATGATACGTTTCCTTTTTGCGCTTGATATGGTGAAATCGCATTGATAGATCAGATTCCTAACCAAACTGCGTGAACTAATAAGTAAATATGTGCACAAAGCTAATTGACGAATACATGTTGTATATATGCCACTATTATAACGTAACGTCCCGAAATTGCAAGCCTTTTACTTCTTGTTTAACTGATGTTGATATATCAGGATGTTTTACCATGCTGCAGCGATGCTCACGTCTGGACGCTGGCAGCACCGTACAGAGACGATTACAGTTTAACTTTTGCGCTCCCGCTAATAGCTGCCGTCATCTGGATTTGATCCGAGTTTAATGAGTGCCGGAATTTCTTGCAACTGCTCTCCCCAAGTCGGCTCGTGCCGTGCATTGCTGATAAATGACGCTCGTAAATCACGACATTAGGTGTGAAATTCCTACAATCTTTGAACAAGACATCAAGCCGTGATGAGGGGATATTGTCTTGGCTTAATAACAGATAGGCCGTTAAATGGGGCAGTTATTAATTTGAAAGCATGTTATATGTCCTAAATAGCCGTGGTGTTTCTGTCGATCTTTTAATCTACATATTTTTTTTTTTAGATGACACTTTCTATGCTGCAACCATTTTCTACATACTTTCGAATAGTTCAAACTCGAGCCCTATTCATCAACGTTACACTTTGACCCTCGCCATTCCTGCGACCGTCTCTCTCGCCGTATTCGTTCCGAGTTTGAGTTACGGCAGGCTATCGCGCTCGGTCCTCTCACGGTGTAAATACGGCGGCACTTTCCTGAGAACCAATCATCGTGCATCACCCTGGCAACGGTCACGCGATCCAGCCAATACAGCTACCCCTCCTCCCCCTCCTTTCCCAGACGTGGTGCCGAGGCACTGAGGTGACGGCGCTCAGGTTTTTTTTCACAACGGTCACAAATTACATAGGACACCTACCATTGAAGGGTCCTTACTCGTTACTGTGGACACGATAATATAATTATTTAAGCTGGGTTTCGTGACTTCGAACAAAAGGCATCAGGTGATTGGATTCAACAATCATGCAACCATCCAGTGGTTGTCTCAAGGCGTGTGCGTGTTATATAATGGAACAAACCGTCGGTTTTTATTACTTTTTACTTCAGGTACCCACATGGCCAAAGCTTTTACTAGAATATCAACGTGTGTGTTGACGGTGTTGTATTGGGTAGATCTCCATCCCTATTTCAAATAATCGAAGCAATTCGACTTTCTAGTTACAATAAATGTAAAAAACTAGTTTAAAACCGGGCAACGACTGGTGTGGATGCATAATTACTTCGCGGCAGTTCTGATTCCGGCAGCCAGAGCCGGCGATGGCCGGTTCGCTGTTGATAATGCTGAATGCAGGTCGTTCCGTACTCACGGCTTACGCTGACGTTGGAGCGGTCATTTGACGCTGTCAATGTTTAAGGAGAAGCGGCATCATCCGTGCAGTGTTGGTGGACAGTCATTGCTCAAACCATCACAGATCAGCAGCGGTCCGTGATCACTGACTGCATGGTCACTGGTTAGACGTGTCGCAGAGGGGACAGTCATTGCCCAAAGGTCAAACTATGACAGACCAGTGACTCATAGTTGCTGGTAGTCGGGATAACTGTCAGACAGCACTGGTCAGATTGTCTTGAGGTCGGTACTGGACCACACCGGTGAAATGGTGAAGGCAGTTGGTGCGTGGACTACACTAGTGAAAGTGTCGGCTGCTGCCAGCATTGGTAGGTGATGAACTGCTAAGCTGTGTTGGCTGCTCAGTCTGTACCGGCGCCAGAGTTGGCACTGGACTGCGACATTGGTCTACTTTGGTGTCGACAACTGCCAGTGTTGGTATTGGCCAGCCCGGGTCGGTCGCTCACGCACCAATCGTTGTAAGTGGATGTAATACGTGACGGTCAAGCGTGTCGAGTGGCCCACTATTGACAACGAAACGGGAGGGTGGCACGCCTGAACACGGGCTCAATTTCAATGATGACTGCCTGCTGCAGTATGGTATGTGTAATGGACATGATGAATGACAACTTGGAACGACACGCGCTATAGCTTGATTGCTGATATCACGCAATTGAAAAAGCTTCATGACAATGAAAATCCAAGACAGAACAGATTGTTCCTGTTGAGGATACGCAACAAAGACCCACTTCTGATCGCAGCCCTCGCCCCGTTGGGGGGGGGGGCCATTTTGGCCCCCCCTGTGGTTTTTCCTAAATAGCAAGAAAACGGCGGCGCACAGCGCCGCCAAATTTTCAGTGCCTTTCCGGGCATCAATTTGACACCTTATCACCAAATTTCAAGTCTTAGGTCATCTTAGGTCAGGAGTTATTGAGGTCAAACTGAGGTCATGTTCGAGCAAAAATGAGCAAAAAACATGCAATTTGAAACGCTCACCAAATTTACAGTTACCAAGCAATTTCAAAGTTCTTTATATGGTCTAGTGGACAAAAAGCGGCGCTACAAAACTGCTATCTCGGATTTTCAAAATTGTGGGTTTTTGACCCCCAAAAATTCAAAAAATTGATTTTTTTAGAAAAAAATCAAAAAAATCCAAAAAAATCCGAATTTCGAAAAAACCGGAATATATATGATAGACCCTGTGCTTTTCTATATAGGGGAGAGTGGGGCAATGGCGACACCATAAGCATTTTGCTCAATAGCTTAGCTATTTGAAGCTATTTTATGGTGATTTTGACTGTGGTTATAGCCAAAGGAATAGGCTTTCAGATAACACCCAGTTTTAGTATCTCAGATCACTGATGACAGATTCAGAGCCTACGCGAAAATGTGGTGAAAAATGGAGGTGCAAAAAAGCGAGGGGTAATGCCGGCCACTAAGTGCAATAGCACAAAAAGTCGAAATATCGTCACTGGTATTCATCCTTAAACCGTTCTTTCGATGGGAATTTAAGTGAGAATTAAGAAACGGCAACTGTATTCAGCAGTTAACAGTGCACTGCACTGCAACACAACACTGCACTCGCTGCAACACAACAGCGCGGCGCCAACAGAGCAGCAAACTAACACAACCGTAAACAGCAAGCAAACTAACACAGCCGTAAACACAGCAACCCGAAACGTTGAGCTTTAACGACAGAAGTCGCAAACAAAACCGCGTGGAGTCATTCCGGACACGTGTCCGGTATTACCTCGAGGTCAGCTTTATTTTAAGAAAGCAGGCAGCAGTCAAAGGCATTGCGTCGCAAACACCTCATCTCCAGCAGTCGCCTAAGAAAGGCTTAATTGAAGGTCATTGCAAAGCAGCACTTCTGAAAATGCGTTAACACATTTCACAGTCAGCAAATAGATGCAACAAAAATTAAAAATCAGATACGAAAAACACATTTAGCGCTATAAAAATGAAAATAATGGAGCTACCGTGACAAACTTGCACCACGTGCTAGAATGGCGCTCAACTGAAATGTAAACAACATCAGCTGATTAGTGATGGACAAAGTACTCACTAGAGATGGGTGGCCGGCATTACCCACCGTCCGCCATTGCCCCGCTCTCCCCTACATACCAAATTTCAGATCGATATCTCGTTTTTTGGCCAAGTTATAGCGAAAAAACTGTTCAAAAATGATGACGTCAAATTTTTGAACTCAATTTTTAGCGATTCTAGACCACGTAGGGCAAAACAAAGACCACCATTGAACTCCCCGTGACGAGCTGCATCGAATCGATACCCATTTTATGCAAAAATATCAACTTTGAAATTTGACCTAATTTGACCTGACCTTGACCTGACCTTGACCAAAACGTGACCTAAGCTGGCCCAAAAGTCTGCCTGACCCACATAATCGCATTTTTCATGTAAAATGGACCATAAAACATGTATCACACGACACTTTCATATTGGCCGTTTTCACGACGGAACTTTCGCAGAGGAACTTATTTGATACCTAAAAAGTACCTACCCTTAGAGGCCTTAACATCCCTCAAACTGAAATATTTTATGTTCAAAATAATTTTAGAAGTTTAAATCCGGGCATTTTTTGCCCTCAAATCACTTATTTATTTACAAACACAGCAATTTTTAGTTCTAGTAGCCCACCTTTCGACTATGAGGTATTAAATCAGCGTGGCAACTTGCTCCCTCTTTGCTCCCTCGGGTATCTAATTCCGGAATTCTTAAAAACAAGGAAAGTATATATCGAGTTCTCTTTTATACCTATTCAGTTATGTTTTAATGGTGATTAAAATATGACAAATTTTTTAATTACATTTCATATAAGAAAACACGCAAAACAATGAAACAAAAATAACTACGGCAGATAATTACCTTCAGGTATCTAATTCCGACCAATCAGCACCTCAGTAGGATATGACGTCATACAAGAATGGTGGTGATGGCCGTTTGCAGTCCCGGCCGGTAGGTCACGTGACCGCCGGGCGCCTCGGGTCACGCGGCGGTCGGGAGTCGGACGCGGGGCGTGGTCGCGGGCGGACGCGCGGGGCATCATGCTTTGCTTTGCTTGCTTTGTCAACTTCATATAACTTACTATCGCATTCGTGTGAAAGCCAAACACTGCTCAGTGCCCTTAGAAATTGAGTTTTGGAAAGCTCAAGTCCCTATAGCTCCTCAGGTCGGCAACAGTTGAAGCCTCATCTGAACCCATGTGAAAAAAAACGAGGGTAAGGAACCTTGTGTTGCTTTTTCTTTTACCGTCATAATTATCTCAAACCATCACAATTTTGAGTTGCCACATTGTCTGCTTTACTACATTCGTGTAAAACTTGGGTGAAGGCT